CCAGCATTATTCACAATATTGAAAAGGTGGGAACAACCTAAATGCCCATCAACAGAAGAATGGATAAACAAAATGTAGTACATACATACATTGGAATACTACATAGCTGGTAGGAGAAATGAAGTCTTTATACATGCTAGCTACAGTATGGGTGGAGCTTGAAGACATTATACTGAGTGAATAAGCCAATCACAAAAGGACAAATATTGTGTGACCTCACTTATATAAGATGACAAGAAAAGGTAAATGCATAGAGACCGAAGTTTATTAGTGGTTACAGTGGCAGAAGGGAAGGAGCAAAAGCAGGTACGGTGTAGTGAATTACCTGATATGGCTTTTCTAGCCATAAGTCTTTGTAAACTCTGTGGTAGAATTTGTTGTGAGCAACTGAGGAGCTCCTGATTGTAAAAGTTATCCACCTGGGGTATTTCTGTGGGGAGTGGTACAAAGCAATGTTCTGGGAAGGTCGCTCTCTCTCAGGTGCTTAGCATTCTGATGCTATGATTGGCTAGTTTGGCCACTCTGCCGAGTTCAAAAGGAGGCCTCTTAGAGGCAGAACTCTCTCTGACTGCTGGCTGAGAAGGATATGTTACTGAGAAGAAACGCGCTCCTGAGAGAAACGTGTTCCTGAGAGACACATGCTGCTGGGAAAGTGACGCAAGAGACACACATTGCTGAGAGAGACACTGAGAGACACGCACTGTTGGGAAAGAGACTGTGAGAGACTGTTAGGTGAGAGACAGCGGGCGGAGAGAAACTGATCATTTTTCCTAAACTTGAATTGTAATCTGGTGCTTCCCTAATAAACCCTATAATCTGTGAGTTTTGTGTGGCTAATGCAGTGAATTATTGAACCCAGCAGAGAAGTGGTGGGGTGCTGCAGGAGGAACGGTTGGTGTCAGGGTTGGTGAAAGGGCTGGAAGGAGGCAGCATGTCTGGCCTCACAGGAATAGGCATTGGCCTACTGATAGTGATTCTGTTTTCTTCTTGTGGGGTTAGAGGAGGTCAGAAGATGTGGCCTTCTTGACCTTTTAGCAGCAGGTTAATGGTAATGGAAAAATTGCATTGATTAGGAAGGGTTGCACATTCGATTACCAAAAAAAAAAAAAAAAAGAATAGTTGCTGAGGCTGCTTATGTACAACCAAACACTTCATAGGATTTGGCTCCTTGCTTTGAAGGTTTAAGGTCATGTTTCATGAGACATCGTAGGTAACTGGCCTAATAACACCTTTAGTGCTTCTGGTCTACCTCCTACTTCATTGTATAGTGCCTAGGGCCTTAAAAGCTTGTAGGCAGCCACCCAAGGCATGATAATTGGTCTCTATTTACTTGGAACAAGAGCAGAAGAAGGAGAGTCAGGAATAAAGGAGGTTATGGAAAGTGTGGCTAACTGCTTCCATGAACAACTGCCTCCTTAGCCATGAGACCAAAAGAAGTGTATATTGCTCAGCTACCATTACTGAACATGCTACAGAAGAATCCTGATCAAAAGGGGAAAAATGTAGAACACAATTTTAAATTCTCATGAA